TATTTTATTTTATTTATTGTGGGGGTTATAAATATTTAATATTCAGGTTTTATTTCTGGTTGGTGAATGCCTTAATTTTTTTGGTTGGTGAACTTTTATGGTTGGTGAAGGTTACATATTTTTGGATGCCTATAAAAGGTCACTCCTCCTTCACATTTGACACACACACAGTACACCATTAGAATATCACATACCACAATCACCACCATAAACTAATTCTCTCATTTTCTACTTTTATATATATTCTCTACTTTATATTATTATTTTGGCAATGGTTCTGTGACTTGGATATCCATATCCGTCTATGAACGTGCTCATAGCGGATCTTGAGTTTGTGTACAAGGGGTCGTATCTTGGAGTCTTGTAGAACGTCAGTACCTGCACGTAGGGAGGCTACAAAGGCTTTAGGACAGCGTCTTTGACGTGGTTCACCGTACCAAACTCACCTTCTTACTTATTATTTATTTTCCTTTTACTTACCTATTATTTTGTTTTCTTCAATTTCATTATACTTTAAAAGCTTTCCTATTTATTTATATGTTATATATTATAATATAATATATTTTTGTGTTTGGCTTTACGGAAAAGGAAAACTATATTTTTTATATTTTTTATAACAAGAATATCATCCACATAGAGTATAATTAGAATGAAATGCCTCCCACTAACTTTGACATATATACATGAATCAAGAATGTTTTCTGTAAAACCATATGTTTTGATAACCTCATCAAATTTCATGTACCACTATGTCGAGGCTTGTTTCAAGCCATATATTGATTTGTTCAATTTGCAGACCATGCTTTCCTGTCCTTCTTGAATAAATCCCTCAGGCTGCTACGTGTAAATCTCTTCCTTCAAATATCCATTTAGGAATGCGGTTTTAACATCCATCTGGTGAAGATGTAAATCAAAATGTGCAACTAATGCCATGATCACTCTAAATGAATCTTTAGTAGATACTAGTGAGAAAGTTTCAGTGTAGTCAATGCCTTCTTGTTGTGTGTATCCCTTGGCAACCAACTTGGCCTTGATGTAACCTAACATGAATATTCTGGGTTTATAAGTTTGAAGTTTCAAGTTTCAAGTTGGATTCATGATTCATGTTCTTATTCATTATGCTTATCAGTTAATATGCTTGTTTGAATGATTGATCACCATTAGAACTTGTATGGTTTGAATTAAGAGTAGACACCATGCTTTAATTCGAATTGAACTATGAATAGGAAGAGTATGTATGGATATTCGACAACAGGGATTAGATACATGCTTGGTTGTTTAAATTGTTCTTCTATGTTTAATGGGTTCCTAATGCTTAATTTTAGGTTAGACAACAAATGATCAAATTAGGGAATTAGGAACACAAGGTTAGAACCAGACACCATGGCCTAATCATACTTTAGGTAGAATCAATCTTTGAATATGAATTAGACTTGTTACTTGACGCCTTATAACCCAGAATTGAATTGTTATGGTGATTCGAATGCCCTAGTCTCCAAATCTGTTTTCCAGCTCTTAAAACCACTCTTTGTTACACTTACTTACTTTGCTTTTGTTTGAAATTTCATTTTGCTTATTTTGTTCAACAATCACAACCACTCTTACTTTAAATTCTGTTTTAGATATAACCTCCTACTTTCTTGAATTTGGTAATCTAAGTACATAACTAGTTTTAACTTCTCAATCTTCGTGGGTACGACCTCGTACTTGTCTTGCTATACTACTAATTGCCCCGTACAATTGCTAGTTAACATAATATTAACAAGCGTTACCTAAGTAGGGAAAATGTTAACTATGATTAGTATGTTAACTATGGTTAAGTAAGTCAATAAGTTTGTTCAAAGATTAATTGCAAGTCAGGTAATTAGCACGTGTGTTAGAGAGATAAGCAGTGTGGTTATTCAGTTAAGCTACTCTGTACTCGGTTTATATAAGAGTATGCTACGCTTTGTAATGATTGATATTGATAGAAAATACAATATAGAAATGCTTCAGCCTTCTTCATTCTTATGATATCTTTGTATTCTTCTTCTTCTTCTTCCATTTATGTTAACAATATATACATACCTTGTTAAAAAAAAAATAACAGTAATAAAATTTTGTGTGCCTCAATTTCAATAAGAAAGTTAGGAAGATATAGGGCCTATTTGGAGTGCTTATGGTGACATCCTACATTTCTTAAGGAAAGGAAGTTTCAAATATTAAGAAGAGTTACCCTATTCTCATCATCAACCACTACTCCAAAAATTGAAAACTACGTCACCTAAAAGACGTCGAAAAGTGAATTTCGCGACGTTGTTTTAAAATTGGCTATAAATCACGTCAGTATTTATAGAAGCGACGTCGTAGGATATCTAATACGGTGGTTTATGAAAACATATTTTAAAACCACGTCGGTTGTCAAGACAAAGCGACGTGGATTCAAAACACGCCAAACACTGTTCACTCAAGTGAACTAAATTTTCACGACTCGCGCTTGCTCTTCTAAGTTTCCCTCTCGTTGCTCTCGATGAAAATTTCCAATCTCTCTCGACCTCTCCCTATCTGGACCTCACTTGGTTCAAACCATCTCTCTCTCTCTCTCTCTCTCTCTCTCTCTCTCTCTCTCTTGCTCTATCATCTCTCTCTCTCTCTCTCTCTCTCTCTCTCTCT